CGACTACGGTAAGGTAGGTAGGTAACGTACGTACGTTAGTTAGTTTGTTTAGTTTACGTTACGTACGAGTATACTACTACTACTTCGTACCGTACCCCTCCCTCCTCTCTCTCTCTCTCTCTCTCTCTCTCTCTCTCTCTCTGCCGCTGCCTGCTGCTTGTTCTGTGTGCTCCCTCTCGCTCTAACATGAAGCTACCTGCTGTTTCGTTCAGGTCATGGAATTTCTCAAGTGCTTGGCTAGATGGAAGAAGGGAAGAGTGTAAGTGTTTATAGGAAGATATACAGCTTCTGACCCAACCCTGCACATGATTGGATTATGGAGGAGGAAAAGTCATAAGATCCCCATTTCCAGAAGTTGGTATGGGCGTTTTGATTTTTGCTTATTTGCCTTTACTCCGGTTGTATTCAGGCATCCATAGGCATCCATTCTTTTGTTTATCTTCTTATTTAACTGTCTGGTCCCATTCTATTTATTGATGCAATTTATTCTATTATGATTTTCCAATCTGTTTCTTTTGACATTTGATGTGATGAGTTCCAATGGCTGCCTCTTGTTAAATGAGTAGCTCGGGGTTGTTAGGGGGAAAACCCATTTTTCAAAATTCAATGGCTACATTTGGGCCTTTTTGTCGATGTAATTTCCGATAATTTATTTTTTCAATAAAATTGGCCATAAAATTTATCAAGTACTGTCCCATTATGGTTTTTAATAACCAATCTATCCCAGCTGGCTTTAAATTACCACGAGTATCCATCAAAGTTTAGTTTTGATCCATCCTTTCAAGGAGCCTCAGAGCTACCCTATAAATCTTTCCTTATACCAACTCTGTGATATTGCACATTAGATTGATTCTTGAGATACCCAGCACTTTTTTCGATTGACAGCCATTATGCAAATGTAATTTGAATTTGCTGGCATAGATCATCTTTCACCTTAATTGTATTTTCAGAATATCTTCTATTTCTTTCTTTTCCGCAACTAATATTTTTTGTGCGAAGACCCATTATGTTTCTGTTGATCGGATCCTCAAAACTATACTGGAAAAGTAACTTGTACTTCTAACAATTTGGACACCCATTCGCTACAGTGATTTACATATTCACATTTTTATAGGCTTAACCTTCAACCGAATTAACAACTTCCATGCATGAGCCAGCTTCGGCTCTCTCCGTCTTCTTCTTTCGTTAAAGAGCAACTTGTATGCATAAACAGCAGTAAATGTCCGCTTTGTAACGTGGTTCCCACACTACTTTATCCACCTCACCAGGAACATAGTAATGAATTTTTAACGGCCTATCCCTATCCACCTTTGTTGCCGGACCCTAACATTATCCCCGTTTCCCACCATCATTCTTATATTTCTTAAGAAGAATTCTATATCGGTCCTCTTTAATGGTACAGCTTTACCAGCATTTTGTGAGTAAAGCGCTATTCATACCTTTATTCTTCTCACTTCCATTCTTTAATCACATATAGGTACAAACCTTCCTCCAGCTCACCAACCTCGGTTTCTCTCCCTGGTAATTTCTTCATAGGTAGTAACCTCTTCGCAATCCCACTCGGCGTACTAAATAGAGACTCAAATAAATTGGCAAATTTGATAAAGATGTCTTAATCAAAGTTAATCTTCTACCCAGCTGGGAAGATAGAAGTAACCGTAAGAAGTTCATGGTTTTTGTGTTTGATAACTCCTTAGAAAGTTAAAGTTGTTCCTGGTTTTTGTGTTTGATAACCTCACGGAATGTTAAATAAGTTCTAAGTACTTGTATTTGATAACATGCTAAAGATTAATCCTTGATTGATAACATGCTAAAGACTAATCCTTGATTTCTCACTGTAACCAACATTTCTGTCAATGTTAAAAAGGTCATGAATCTTGGTCTAACCCTCCCCTAGGACAACGGTTGTCTTCAATTGTTAAAGTAAACAAGTCCTTGATTTTCTCATTGTAACCAACATTTCAATCAATCTAAAAAACCCATAAAATCAATATTAATCGAATCCCAATTCTTTTTCTCCATGAAAAGTTCAAACTAACAGGCCTTTCTCTCTATAATTGCTCCTTTCAGACTTTGCCCTTGCTTAGCTTTTTCCCTCTTTATCTCTTCTTGCAAATGAAGAAAAGGTTTGAGAGCGAACTGGAAATAGGAATAAATGTTGGAGTAGGTTAGGGTAGAGACAGAGAAAGAATGGAAGAAAAAGCATAGAGGAGAGATTTTCACACATTCTACCTCGAATCAAGGAAATAAATCAGATTATACAGGAACATTCTTAGCTTTGTTATGTGCATAACATCACCAACAATCACTAAATAAACAAAGGAAATCCAAAACACAATAGGGGAAAAAAATCTTTATCGAGGTTCAATGACAAGCGATAAAAGTTCCATATTGTAAACTGAAATTTCGTGGCTCCCATTTCAAGCCACAAAATAAAGAACTATTGTAGTTATCTACAATCAGTAAACTTGAATCACCAATACATAAATATATGAATCAAGGTTCTTGATTTTTTACATGCATTTGGGCCATCAAATATCATGAATCAATGAAATGAATCAGATTATCTTGGCTCTCATTTTTCAAGAATCAGATTATCTTGGCTCTCATTTTTCAAGCCATAAAATAAAGAACTATTGTAGCTCTCTAGAATCAGTAAACTCGAATCACCAATACATAAATATATGAATCAAGATTGCAGCTTTTTTACATACATTTGGGGAGTCAAATATCATGAATCAATGAAATAAATCAAAGTATCTTGTTCACTTGTGCATGAAAAGAAATGGAACAAGAAATAAAAAGACATAATAAAATCCAGCAGATTTACAATAGAGAAATAGTGGGAAAGCCCTAATTTTCCTACAGCAGATTTCACAAGGATTCCATTTTTTTACAGCAGATAATATTCGTAAAGCCCCAAATTATTTTAAGGAATCCTTGAAAATAAGGAAAGCCCTAAATCTGTTTACAGAGATTTTTAAAAAAAAACCCTGAAAACATAAAAAAATTTGGAAAATCTGCATACAACTATGATTGAGAGGTTGTTGCTCTTGTCAAGCTCTTGCTCGCAGAGGGTGAGAAAGAGAACCGAGGGAAGGGAGGCTCCAAGAAGAGAAGAGAGAGAGAGCAAGAGACAGGGTGAGCGGCTGGCTGTGTCAGAGCGGCAAAGTTCCATACTGTAAACTAAAATTTTGTGGCTCCCATTTCAAGCTACAAAATAAAGAACTATTGTAGTTATCTAGAATCAGTAAACTCGAATCACCAATACATAAATATATGAATCAAGGTTCTTGATTTTTTTACATGCATTTGTGCCATCAAATATCATGAATCAATGAAATAAATTAGATTATCTTGGCTCTCATTTCAAGCCATAAAATAAAGAACTATTGTAGCTCTCTAGAATCAGTAAACTCGAATCACCAATACATAAATATATGCATCAAGGTTGCAGATTTTTTACATACATTTGGGGAATCAAATATCATGAATCACTGAAATAAATCTAAGTATCTTGTTCACTTGTGCATGAAAAGAAATGGAACAAGAAATAAGAAGACATAATAAAATCCAGCAGATTTACAACAGAGAAATATTGAGAAAGCCCCAAATTTTCTTACGGCATATTTCGCAAGGATTCCATTTTTTTTACAGCCGATAATATCGGTAAAGCCTCAAATTATTTTAAGGAATCCCTGTAAAATAAGGAAAGCCCTAAATCTTTTTACAGGGATTTAAAAATAAAAACCCTAAAAACATAAAAAAATTGGAAAATCTGCGTACAACTATAATTGAGAGGTTGTTGCTCTAGCTCGCACTGGTTCCTCAAGCTCTTGGTCGTTGAGGGTGAGAGAGAGAACAGAGGGAAAGGAGGCTCCAATAAGAGAAGAGAGTGATAGAGCAAGAGACAGCGTGAGCGGCTGGCTGTTGCGAAGAAAGGGCGAGCAGCTGGCTGTGCGAGAGGGATAAAGAAATAGGGCACAGGTGCGAAGAGCGGTGTTTTATTGGGGGTGGGAAGAACTTCTATTTTCAAGTTCCATGGTTACCATGGAACTTTTTCTACATGTAAAAGTGGGAACATAAATAGTAAATAAACTTCTAATTTTATCTTACCTTTTTTTATCAAACACATATTATGAATAGTAACATGAACTAACTTCTTGTTATCAAACAAACCCTTAGTCTAATTTATATTGGAACCTTTGGATTATAGAGTCCTATAAAGTACTAGATCTCTTCTTTTAAGTTAAAGCTACACCAAGATATATAATGGGAATTTTTCCTCCTCCACAATCCATAAGATCAACATATTCTTTGACTTCATTTCCCCCACAAACATCCCAAAAAATATTGGTTTTGTTAAAGCTAACTCTTAAACTAGTAACCACCTTAAAGCATTTCAAGAATATTTTGAGTGTCAACATTTTCAAGTTGCTTGCTCCATGACATATTGGTGTGTTATTTGCATATTGCAAATGAGACACCATTGTGTCACTTTCTTTCACAGTGAAAACTCACAAACATCGCACTGGAGACTTTAGCTATGATGGTAAATATGAAATGAAACAATGGGTCTCCTTATCTAATACCCCTTGTGGCTTTAAAAAAATATTTTGGTCTTCTATTTATTTGAATCGAGAGATGTGTTGTTGATAAATACACTTTAATCCATTTTAACTGTTAGCACCAAAACCCATAACCTTCATTATATTCATTAAGACCTCCCACTCTGCTCTATCATAGGCCTTTTCCAAATAAATCTTATAGATAACCTTTTTCAGCAATCCTTAGACTAGTGTATTCTTGTGCACAAAGAATATCAACAGTAATTTATCTACCTTTGATAAAGGCAAATTGTGGTCCAACAATTACCATTGGCCTTCCTAGCCAATTCACCTAAGTGGGATGAGGAACCAAACCTAGAGGGAGCACTCGAGTTACTGCCTGGGGTCGACTCAAGGAATAACTTGCTTAAGAAAAACGAAGAATCAAACTTAGAAGACATGAACAAGTCATATCCTCAATAGGGTGGCCCATCATATGAAGCACTGAACCCAGAGGGGCCGTTCGAGCTACCTTCTTAAATTAGCCTAATACTGACAACCCACTTAAATGGGAAGAAGAACCAAATCAAGAAGAATGCTTAGAGACTCACAAGAGTGGGAGACATACCTCCATTAGTAGGAACATCCCAATTAACCAATTGGTAAGGGCATCCCAAGACCAAGGCGGTCAACCAAAAGAGACTCAAGTTTCCACAATTGAAGAACCGCAGTGGTATAGGGGAACCTCAAGGCTAGGAAATTTTGTTGAAGAAGACATTACTCCCCACTGTTAATGGAAACCAAGCAAGCCCAACCCCATTGAATTAGTTGATAAGAGTGGTCCCCTCTATGGAAAATGATATGACAAGGATGGTATGTGAGGTTGTACCCTCATTGATCCATCCCAACATACTTTAAGGCGTTTAAGAATTAACATTACATCTC